ATACTTCTTTAAATATAACAATTCTAGCACAATACAAACGATTTGTAATTGTAGACAACAAAATGTATAAATCCACTTATGTATATGCTGTACTTTATAAAACTTTAACTTATGTTAGGCCTGAGTTCGATAATAAGATAAATTAACACTGTAACCTGTTAGGACTAAACTTTACTGTACTTAATACTATCGATAAATAAACTTGTAATGTTATTCTATGACATAATGTCAAACCTTTTTTAAAAACTTTGATAAGTTTTTAATATTCTGTTGTACAAAATGGTTAGTAAAGTATATTTACATTCCCCTTTTGTTGATACTTCTTGTTTCATACAGCAATTGTAGCGACTCGATCACTGAGCTTTGCAGCTCTCTGCTGCAGGCAGACTGTTTGTCGTTGAGTGAATAATGCACATACGAGGTTTTTCTTGGGGAAACATTCTAACTATGCATGCTTATGCAGCAGGTTTTCGGTCAGAAAGCGTAATGATCGTACATACAAACAAGCAGAATAATAGTATAGATACTTTAAAAACCTACATGTTTTTCATTTTAATTACTCAAGTTTTTGATGATCAAATTTAGTGTTGAAGTTAAAGACAACCCACAAAGTTCTTATATTACTGGTGTAATTACAATTTACACTGTTTACTAAGATAAAGTCCATAGTAATACTAGTAATGTAGTAGTATGGAGTGTGAAATGGTCCATAATTTGTTTAATATTCATAGTTTTTTTCTTCTTGTATACATAGTAAAGTATATTGTTTGTTTGTTGTGGAATAAACCTGTGCTCTGTCCATCATGGGTATCTAAAATCATAAGCCCTGAAACTTACTGCTGAGCCACTGGGAGTAAGGGTGGACACGGAAATTTATAAATTAACTTTCAAAACTATATTGTATATGTAATTTTGTATTAGATTTATTTGTGCATTTTAATAAAGTAGTAATTTTTTGCAGCTATTTTTATAGCACCTAACTTGTTTCATACTTTTTTCCCATGCATTTAAACAGTGTCCTTGAGTGTGTGCAACCAAAGTGCATTACTTTCAAAGAAAAGTAACAGATTATCAAGATAACACCATGATCAATGATTTTAGATGTATTTTAATAAACTGCTGAACTGATTTTGACATGATGTATACCACAGAATACCAAAAACTGCTGTTTTACTTCAGTAATAAAATTAGCATGTACCAACAGATGGTACATTTGTAATAAAAGTTCTCCATAGTTGTCTTCACTGACAGTTAACAGATAAAATATTTTAACCTTTGACTGATGATGCAATGTTGCCTGGTAGTAAATCAACCAAAAATTGTTTACACTGGTAATACATTCTTAAACTATAACTTTTGTTCAGAGTAAGCTACCTACTGAAGTGAAAAATAAAAATAAACACTGTAACGAGAAAAGCTTGCTCAATATACTTATCTTATATCTAAGGTTTTGGATGATGAACTTCTATATATCCAATGCTTATCTTCACATCCCTATTGCTCAGGCTACATGTTAGTATGTACATTTTGTCCATGAGGATCATGTTTATCAATTCTGAACTCTTCCTTTCGAGCTGGCATCAGCACCCTATATTTTCTAGGGCTCACTTTCCATCTTTGTATGGACATCTGGCTCTATACTTTGCAGATTCTTCTACACTCACTCAACTTCTCATCTGAAAAGCTGTTTGGGTGGGTTGAATTATTTAGATGGAAATCTTTGTTATCCACCTCACCCAGTATCTTGTTCTTCTGGGGTGTTTTTCAACTCGCATCTTATTCAAGCCCTGCTTTCTCCCCTTCATCTGCAAGTCATGGAGATTTTAGTTCATATGGCACCTTCTCTCCCTGCATTAGAGGTTCTGTCTCTTTTGGGGACTTGGGCATCACTGGAGGCTCTTACCTCTCTGGGCAATGTCCACATGCATTCCTTGCAGTCGGTACTACAAGAACAATGGCACCTCATCATGGACCCTCTGGATTTATAGATATCCCTTCCAGCTTCCCTTCTGTCTGACTTCCTCTGGTGGTTAGACAGAGACAACACGACAGTGGGTTACCTGTTCCTCCTCTTCCCTGTCCAGATATCCATGTCTTCACAGATACCTTGATGTCAAAAAAGGTGCTTGCTGCAATACCAAAGAGATCTCAGGCCGTTAGTCTAAGGAGGAGTTAGGTATTTTTAGAACTCTCTGCTGTTCATCAGGTGATGGTTCAATTTCTGTCACCTCTGTGTGGCATGACAGTTATGATTCATTCCAACAATTTGATGGTTGTCTCTTACATCACCTGAAAAGGGAGCACTCAATCCTGGTATGTATATTTCCTTTTGGATATACAAGACTGTTTAGTGTAAGAGTTATTATTTATTTCATTTAGTAATCTAATATT